AGAAGTAGTATTTACTGTGTTACTGTCTGGAAAAATATATTTTTCCAAATATACCTATAGAAAACTACCATACAGGGTGAGTCAGAATGAGACTAACAAACTTTGCTTTCAGATTTCATTCTTCATTTCGAGGTAAAATTTGATAATCTTCGACTGGATGTGACCTTCACGAGAGAAAATACCGGGAGGCACACCAAGATTGAACCTTTTGATTAGTGGTGCCCACGAGAGTCTCGTTTTCGAGAGTCTCGCATGGTCTCGTCTCGTTTTCGAGACAAGACTCGAGACGAGACTCGGACAAGACGAGACAAGACTTTTATTGGTCTCGTCTCGAGTCTCGTACAAGACTTCTCGTGTCTCGTGCGAGAGTCTCGCAGGTAAATATTTCTGCGTGCCGACTGCAGACTTGAGAATTTCATTCATAATACAACATATTTGGAAAGAATTCAGAATATTTAGCACAGATAGAAAAAACATTTTATTCATAAATTCTTTCACAATCCGTGATTGAAAAGGAACATTATCTGATATATTTATGAACACAAATTTGAACGATGGAAACTTGTTATTTTAATAGACCTCAATCGCAGATTCGTGATTAGGTTTTTCTCAATTCAGAATTTCTTTTCACGTCCTGATGTATGATGAATGTCAATTTATCATACATCCAAAAAACAATCCATGATTACGTAATGCGTGGAACGAAAACGGACTATTCTCTCTCTTACGGCGGAATAATGTTGGATTGAAGTTTTTGTTTCGTTTATTTATTTGTTTATATATTTGAATATATCACGTGTTACTTTTTATTATTTTTTTGTTATTTTCGAATATAGAATACTGCTTTTTTCTCTTATTCACATGAATGTAGTAGGTATGTTTCTATCAGGTACTTACTTTTCAATAAATAATGTTATTTTAGTTGTAATTTTCTCTTTCTACTTCTATATTATACCTAAAAAGTAGGTAAAGGTTAATATCCCGTACTAGACTGGAACAAGATTATGCATGACGAAATTGCGATACATTTGCGAGACTCTCGTACGAGACGCGAGACAAGACGAGACTCGAAGCTGCGAGACGAGACTCGAGACAAGACTTCATATCTCATCGGCGAGACGAGACGAGACTTTATGAAAGTCTCGTCTCGTTGGTCTCGTGTGAATCACTACTTTTGATCAATGATATTATGAAAGAATGCTCAGACACGTTAGCTTTCATGACTTCTGACACATTAAATTGACTTGAATTGATAACATGATGTTGTAGACATCTTCTGAGAATTTTTTCAGCCAATTACATCATAATATTGTCATATGACCGTGAGCCATTCAATCCGTTTTCCTGTGAATTCAGATTTACTTTTATTCATAATGATATAATTCAATGTTTGAATCACATCGAAGAATAATTTTTTGTTACATTCAGAATATTCTTTCGATCAATCTGGAATATAAGGGAAACATTTGAAATTAAAAACAACGATTTATTGCGTTGACTTACCTAGGATAGTTTGACCAATTTTCGATTTTATACCACAGACATTTTCTGTGGAAACATTTCTAATTCTAATTTTTTTTTGTACTTTCTACACCCTGTAGCTCAAACAGGATGCATTTCATGAAATACGTTGATAGGAACTTTTCTACTTGGTAAAAACTAAGGACTCATAACTTGTATTTTGTATGATTGTTCTAAAATTGTTCTAACCGTCATTCGGTTGCCCCCTTACGAGCAACCCTCAGAAGTCTTCGAGAGTCTTGTGCGAGCAAGGAATGACGCGGGGGCCTTATCTTTTAACGTGTGATCCCAAACACTTCCTTGGGCCATCAGAAAAATTTCTGCAGTCGACGGGACTCGAACCCACGACCGGCAAGCGAATGCGGATTAGAATATGGACACTCTGTCCGCACGGCTACCTGGATGAACTCCTATAAAGCGAAAACATATAATTTCTCAATTTACTATTTTTTGAAAATCTGAACATCAATGGAGATAGCTTGATTTACGAATTTTTCTTCGCAACTTCTGCTATTTGTTTCTACAAACTACTCATTCGAATTGTATTGATTGCCAATTATCAACAATAATACACGGTATTCTAAATATTCGAAATAATATTCTATCGCTTTGTTGTTGACGTTATTGTTTTGCCGATCAGCACCAGGAGCCCGTCAGGACGAGTGGTATTGCTATACTGCAACAAATTTGGAGTTAATAATGAAAGACAAAATTATGAGAAGATATCCAGAATAGAGTGATGTTTTGCTAGACTATTTCACAAAGCATAATAAACATTTATTATGAATAAACAATAAGAATTTGCTTCCTTATTCTTGGATACATCGTTGAAAACACCAACGCTGATAGACCAATCATAATTGAAAGACGGCAAGTGTTGATACAAGTTTCTTTGGCTTGTGATAGGTCATATTATGTGAGAATTTTGAGATGAGTGAAATAGTCACCATCAAGGGTGGTCCTACGGGAGTATTATAGGGGGTAATTATCCCCTCCCCTCCCAGAGCATAACAAGAGATCTTTTTTCATTTCATCCATAGAAAATATAAAGAACAAGAAAATTACCAAGAAATCAAAATTACTAGCTGCAACAGTTCGCAATTTTCCAACAAAATTGCAGCAATTCTCATTGCCTACTGACTAGTGACATTTAGGAGAGCTGTCGTAATGGTGGATTTTCGGTGTTCAGATCTATTAATTTTGCATCTTCAGATTCGAATTGACGGTTTCCATGGCTTCTTTTACCAAACTCGAAACTACAGAAGCAAAACTCATTTTTTTTATATTAAGAAATTGCATGTCGGTCATTCCGATTCAGGATAATAGTGGAGATATGAATTGCAGCAATAAATCACCTTGCAATTAAAAATTGAAAACTGTAAACCAGCTCTAGAGCCAATGAAAATAAAAAAAAAGCACAATCAATATGATGTTCTGAAGAAATACCAAGTTTGAGGAACATCATAAAATAGCTGTTACCCTCCCTATATAATCAGTAATCAGGAAAGTAGTTGTTATTTCCCCGTCATCTATCATTGTTGTTTATTTTCTGAGCATATGTGGAAATGACTTTGACTGTTACCCTTCCTAGATATACACTTTAACTCTTTCAAGTACTTTGGTGCAGAATTTGAACCACGAATTTCTTGGAGGTATGCTGGGACAAAATATATCCCGCTCTGCAATGGGCTTATGATTTGTGGACGGTTTATTTTCTCTCCCGCCCCATATTACTCACTCATATTGGTCTTTTGAATCATATGTTCTAAGCTGAAGCGAATAAAACCATACATTATTAGTGAATAGAATAAACTCAAAACTTGTTCCGTACGTTGTGTTTCTCCTCTCGAATTGCGGCTGCAAATTTCATGCTTATCATGTTATTACATTTTTTGTTGCATTATATACTTTCTAGGCAACATAGGTTACCTACTTGTTATATTTTTCCAACTTATATGTTTATTTTTCGTTCACAAAATGTCAAAATCTACGCTGTTTGAAATTTGTCCCACCATACAACATGACCAAGACATTTTTCAAGGATAATGATGAGGAAAATGATGTCGAATTCAATTTTAACAACATTATACTGTCTGATATGAATATCGAGACACCAGTACTTATATATGGATACATGGGACCCAGAAGATTGGATACCCCTATCGCGGAGTTGAAACCAGGGATAGAGAAAAAAATGATGTGGGGTGGATGAGATCGTTCACCCAAAAGATTTAAACAGAACCTCTAGAGTGGCTCAAGATGGATAATCTCTCTCGTCAGTTCATCACGGACAAATTATTGAATCACATAGTTTTCCAGATCAATCTATATAGGTACTAAGCAGAACTATCAGACGACTGGAAAGACATATAAAGGAACAGATATTCATGAAATCTTTTCCTTGGATACCGCTGTAGTCAACTAATTTATTCTTCACAGAATACCCTATATCTTTCAAAGTTATCAATGAAAGATATGATCATTTAGTCGTCAATAAATATCAGTATCTTCATCGAGAATATCACTCGAATGGACATAACAAGTCGAAGGAGATAATGCTCTTTGAAATTCAGGAGAGTTTGAAGTTGGAACAAACTGGTTGTGTGTTTCACTCTGTCTTGCAAAGAACAAAACATGTTTGCAGACGTTTCACAGTGATTTGAAATGAGTCGATTCTCATGAAATCTTTCACCTTATGGAATGGTGGGTTAGATTTTGACCCGCCGTTTTTTTGTAAAAATTGGAAAATTCTGAAATTATTTCATATTTGTTCGTATCTTTTGAGTTATTTGGAGTTAGTTTGTTAATGAATCTCTTGAAAATCTGGAGAAAAATGAAGCTGTACATCTAGGGGTTGTTATATTTCGAAATTCCTGTACCTGAAAGAGTTAAGACCACCCTTGATAATCACTAATCAGGAAAGTAGTTGTTATTCCCCCGTCATCTATCATTGTTGTTTATTTATTGAGCATATGTGGAAATTACTTCGAGTTTTGCATATATTTATTTAACATTTTAATTCATTAAACTCTGAGCATTTTGGCTTTTTCGTTGTTGATAAGTATACAATAGCCTACCAGTTATTAACTTCAAATCAATATTATTATTGAATCGTCGTTATTCTCATCACAGAAAAAAATAAGTGTATTATAGGTACAGGAAGAAAATATTATATTTTAGGTCTCGAGCTGAAATCTGATACTTTTTTCACTTGTATAATAAATTCCTTTTGTTACTAATAATTACTCATTCGCATTTGAAAATACAGATTTCCATGTTGATTCATCAAATATATGTAGTAATGTAATGTAATGTAATCATTTTGGCGCTGGCTCTTAGACTTTAAACAAATTGACGACTGTCGACACGCGAACGTGTGGCTTCAGTAAGCTGACGTCACGAGTAGCGGAGTAGAGCTTCGCCCGACGCGACGGCGGCGTAATCGCGGACCGTTCCTTTGTCCCCCGCCCGCCCCGCAGTCCCCCCAACCACCATCCGAGCGCGAGTCGCTCGCCGTTGGCATGTTGGGGGCCGCGGCGGACACCGCGACCTAAAGAGCCGACGTCCGCCCGCCCCGCTTCCCCCCACGTCCCGACGGTCCCTATACGGGGTGGAGCGGCTAGGAGAGAGGAAGGTTGTTTGCTTTATTCTTTGTGCTAGCGGGACGAGGAACGCGTCGATTTCGGGGGATTTTTTCCGGGGAATTCGCTTGTGCTATCGAGAAATTGATTCTGAATTTTTTTATGTTGATGATTATTGGACCAGAACAAATCCTGGGTATCAATATCATGGAGCCTCTTAACCATGAAGAAAATGCTGGAAGTGAAATTCCAAAATGCATAGAAAGAAATCTGGCATTAGACAATCAGAATAGTGGTAGCTAGGGCTCCTCACGGGGCACTGCTACCGAAACAAGCACTTCAACATCATATAGGTATTTTTTTTATGTTCTGGTTCCCAGGGAAATGGATATCCTGTAATGTTCAGAGAACATCGTCAGAACCAAGGGAAATAAGGTAGGAATTGGTGTTCTTCTTATATTTCTGGAGGTTATTTGCCTCAGGGAACACCTTCCTTGGCAATGTGTACCTGAGCCTCGCTGTTCGTTGGATGAACGAGTCTTTGGAAAGAGATGTTCTGCAGGTCTCCAAAGTGACCACGAAGGGGTGCGAAGCCTCAACTCGACGGGTTAATCTCGCGGGGACTGCTAAGAGAGGAACAATTGTTGATATTTCAGAAGAGCATCGTCTATGAAAATATCTATAAAATAGAGCCAGATTGCCAACTTTTTTACGGTGTTCCAGAGAAAAGGAAATATTATATAATAGAATATAATTTAACAAGTGTTATAAACTTCATTTTAATAACGATTATTTTAAGCACGAGCGCAACAGAGCGGAGCGAGTGTTTAATGAACGAGTGTCTAGAAAAGTTTATAAACGCGTTACATAATGTACTTCTTCTACGAACTCATACTTCCTCTCTTCGACAAAATCACATAATCCCGTTAATTAGATCAAACTACTCGCTAACCTACAAATTGATTCGAAGGAAATGGGAATTGAGAATATGATACTATGCAACTGCATGCAACCAACGAGGCACGTATAAGTGATATTGGTTGTAGATGTGTCCAGTCCATAGGATACCTATACATGATTTTTTTGTAAATAAGAAGTTCTCATCTGACGTAGGAGATAAGAACTCTTCGATTCGCTGAGCTATCAAAGTTTTCGATTTCTCAGGTTTGCATCCATATTCTGATTGCATAATTATTACCTACATGCATGTTCTTACAATTATGTATTGTCATGCATAGCATAGAATACATTGGCCACAAAGATGAGAGATATCTTACCAATATATATAAGTTATATTTCTATATCATTATACATCATATTATTCATCCCATTTGAAAAAGAATGTCAATTCTCAATTTCTGAGGATTTTATTTTTTATTTTTAATGTTGTCCTTTTGGATGTTCATCAGATATAATTCAATGTTCGAGGTGGCAAATAGCCAGGAAAGTAGTTGTTTTCTGTTGAATATTCAGAATGATGTGTGCATATACATATTTTTGTCTGAAGGCCAGGAATGCAAATTCTCAATTTCAGAAGATTTTATATTTCATTTTCATACTCTTATCAATTCAGAATTTCTTTCCACGCCCTGTATATGATGAATGTCAATTTATCATACACCCAAAAGGAAAAAGCTTGTCTCGAACCTGATTACTCCAGATTTGAATATCTAACAGATGTCGAAATTTTTGAGCAGGAACGTATCCATTGTATCAGATGCCATGCGAAGAGATCGGTTTAGGCAGATCCTGAAATGTTTACACTGTGCTGAAAACACGAAACCTAATAATAATGACAAAATGTGGAAATTACGACCTCTCATGGATAAACTACGAGCTTTCATCAAAAATTTTGATGAATCCATGGTTAAATATTTCGGAAGACATCCCAGCAAACAATTCATACGAGGAAAACCAATCCGATTCGGATACAAGGTATGGTGTTCGAATGCTGTGTCGGGATATCTTGTGAATTTCGATGTATACCAAGGGAACAATCCTAGGGGAAATATTTTATATGAAAATGGATTCGGGAAATGTGCAGCACCTCTTATCAACATGAATGACGACTTTCCTCCTGATGTGTCCAAACTAAAAAAAAAAATTCTAAAATTGTTCTATCCGACATTCGGTTGTCCCCCCCCCCCCCTTACGAGCAACCCTCAGAAGTCTTCGAGAGTCTTGTGCGAGCAAGGAATGACGGGGGCCTTACCTTTTAACGTGTGATCCCAAACACTTTCTTGGGCCATCAGAAAAACTTCTGCAGTCGACGGGACTCGAACCCACGACCGGCAAGCGAATGCGGATTAGAATATGGACACTCTGTCCGCACGGCTACCTGGCCACCAACTTCCATTACAATTTTATTTTGATAACCTTCTTACTGGTTTCAATATTCTTCATTACCTGAAACAACGCGGCTATGATGGAACGGGCACAATGCGCGACAGCCGTATCCCGAAAAACTGTCCTTTACCTGCGAAAAATATGTTGTCTAAATCTAAATCTCAGAAAAGGGGTGATTACGTATCAGCTATTGATAAAGAAAATGTAATCATTGTTGCGAAGTGGCTGGATAATAATGTTGTTAGCGTAGCCTCTACCTGTCATGGAGTAAATCCCACTTCTTCAGTGAAGGAAAAAGAATACAGGTATCGCGTCCATCGCTCATGACCGAATACAACCGCTTTATGGGAGGGACCGACCTGATGGATGAAAATATTTCAAGATATCGTATATCCTACAGAAGGAAAAAGTGGTGGTGGCCCATTTTCACTTGGTTGCTGGACACAAGTGTAGTGAATGCATGGTCTGTAAGGCGAAAATGCAGAAGCAAACCACCAATAAGTCAGCTGAATTACAGAAGACAAATCGTTTTGCATTATCTTGAGAAATACAAAACAGTTTCAAAAGGATCAGGAAGGCCATCTACATCTAAAAACAGCGTTACTCATAACCGAGTGTCTGATGATATTAGATATGATCAAGCTGACCATTTATTAGTTTCAACTAGAGATGAAAAAGGAAACGTTGTGCCGGTGAAGGTTGCTCCTCAAGCATCCGAACAATGTGTTATAAATGTAATGTTGGTATATGTATAGACTGTAACTATATGTTACACGGTAAATAAATATTTTTGACAGTTTGTAGCAGATATTTGAATTTCTATTATTTTGTCACCACTTATATCGCAAAAAAATTAAAAATCATATTGAAAAGTTGTTGAAAGAGCCTAACTTAATCATGATAATTGGGAATTTTAACCTGGAACAGCATATTTCTAGAAATAAAAAAATTCCGCCGTTGAAGGGTTTTAACTCACATATTCTCAAGCACAGTTGAATCTCCCTGTAGATCCCCCGGTGCGGCCGTGTTTACGCAGCCGAAGGAGCGGCGTTTCTCTCGCGCCCAGTCGCCCACCAAACGCGCGATATCCAAATTGGATTCATGGGGAGCGCGGGACCGGTGAAGGGGGAGGGGGGAGGGGACACTAATTACGTCGAAGTGGAGATCGCGAAGGGTGGATAGACGGCTCGGGCTCGCCCTAGGACTATAACGGTTCTGCGAAGGTCATCGAGGAGACCCAAAACATACAGAATGCGATCGCCCTTCGTACAGTTTGGCACAGAAAATTTGGCCAATCTCTAAGACAAAAAATAACAGCACCCAAACATACTCTGAAACTGTTGGATTCTGTCCAAAAAAGGGCAATTCGTCTCGTGGGTGATGCCTCGCTCACAATCTCACTCACTTCTCTGGAACACCGTAGAAAAGTTGGCGATCTGGCTCTCTAGATATTTTCATGAACGATGCTCTTCTGAAATATCCAAATATCAACAATTGTTCCTCCCTTGGCAGTCTCCGCGAGATTAACCTGTCGAGTTGAGCCTTCGCACCTCCTCGTGGTCACTTTGGAGACCTGCAGAACCGAGTGCAGAACATCTCTTCCCAAAGACTCGTTCATCCAACGAACAGCGAGGCTCTGGAACACATTGCCAAGGGTGGTAACCCCGAGGCATATAACCTCCAGAAATTTAAGAAGAACACCAATTCCTACCTTTTTTCCCTTGGTTCTCACGATGTTCTCTGAACATTACAGGATATCCCTTTTCGTGGGAACCAGAACATAAAAAAAAAGTCGTAGGTAGGTACTAAGTTTCTGAAACGCAACCCTGCCGAGATATTCGAAGAAGGGACAAAATAACTTCTTCGAAGATATCTTCTTCCCAGCGCAATCAAATGATTTTTTTTTGCTAACATATGATCGAAGACTGATTGAACCTTTGGCAAGATAATTACACTATATTACCACTAAGCAAACCGATTTTTTAACGCCTCGACACAAGTTTCACTAACTATGTTACCATCTTCAGAAGAGTATTGAAAATAATTATCTTATTCTATTAGATCATCTTCATGAAATCGTTGGTGATTTCCTTGGTATTTCGACCGACGCTAAAAGTTATGAAGTGTGATGGTTATATTAGTTCAATCCCTTTTATGACAGTGCGGGTTTGTTTCCATTTGGACATGTATATTTACGTCTACAATTTGCTTCTTGGGATAATTTCATATAGGTACGACATGACATATGTAAAAAATGGCAGACGACTATCAGGGCATCTATTATACAACATTTAGTATGTTTTCAAAACAAAACAGTGCTAATCAATAAATATTGGAACACCTTGAACGTAAGTAGTTGCGAATACCTATGTAGTATGCGTGGGTATTTTCTAATATTATTTTATTTGCATGAATTTGAAAGAAAGTAATATATGTACATGGATACGTGTGTATGCCATCATTGCTGAGAGCTGATGTGTTATAAGGTATAATAGGTTTTCACGCAATCAGCCCTGATCGAATAGTTTGGATATATACTTTTATAAATAATATTCGTTAACTGTTACTAGATTTGTTATTGATATAAGGCTTACCACGACTGGTGGTAATACATCAGGAAATTTAATGAAACAATAAGCAATTTTTCTGAAATAAAGACATTGAAATATATCGGCGAACAAAATATTTATTTATTATCAATAAAATG